GGAAACAGGATTTTCTACTTACCTTCATTTTCAAAATTTGTAGAAATCTTTATTTCTTTGTATAGATCCAAGCTTCTGACTGGTGTATATACTTTCTGGTCCAAGAACTCCCTTTAACATAACTGAAGTATGGGTCTGCTAGTAATGAATTTTCTGGGTTTGTTTTGGTGTTTGTTTGTTGTTCTGAAAAGTCTTTAACTCATCTTCAGTTTTGAAATATATTTTACTGGATTACTTATCTGGATAGGCACCTCTCTTCCTCTTTATTCTCACTTTAAAGATGTTCATTACTCTACCTTACTTAGGTTCTGACAAGAAGTCTGCTTTCATTTTTATCTTTTTTCTTCTGAATGTAACACATGTGCCTTCGAGATTTTCACTTTATCTTTGGTTCTCAGCAGTATGAACATAATATATCAAGGTGTGTGTGTGTAACTCCTGCTTGATGTTCTCTGAGCTCCTCCAATCTGTCGTTTGATGTTTTTCCCTATTTTTTGAATATTCTAGGTGATTATCTCTTTGAATATTTCTTTTGCCCTGTTCTTACTCTTTCTCCCTCTGGGATTCTTGTTACACATATGTTAAATTGTTTAATATTTTTCCATATCTCTTGGATGTTCTGTTCTCTATTTTTTCCCCCTCTCTATTTTCTCTATGGGTTTCAATCTGGGTAATTGCTATTGATATGTATTCAAGTCCATTGATTCTTTCTTCAGCTGTGTCTAGTATTACGCTGTACCCATCAGAGGCCTGCTTTATCTCTAGTACCATGATGTTGCTATTGTGCTGTAATTACTTTTTAATTTCCGGAGTTTATTCAGATTTTCTACATAGAAAATCATACCTTCTGTGAACAAGGACAGTTTTCTTTCTTCTTTTGTGACCTGTGTGCCTTTTATTTCTTTTTCTTGTTGTACAGTATCAGCTAGAACTTTCAGCATGATGTTGACTAGGAATGGTCAGGGGGACATCTTGTTCTTGATTCCAGTCCCAAACCAGAAGGAAAGTATCTAGTATGTACACCATATACCATTAACTTTGATGTAAACTGTGTCTTTTTTGTAGCTATTCTTTATCAAGTCAGGAAGTTCTCCTGTATTACCAATTTGCCAAGAATCTTTTTCATAAGTGAAGTTGGATTTTGTCAAATGCTTTTTCTACATCTATTGGTATGATCATATGTTTTCTTTTTTTCAGACTGTTGATGTGATGGATTACATTGATTTTGACCATTGAAGCAGTCTCACACACCCAGAATAAATCACACTTAGTCATGTTATCTAATTCTTTTTATACATTGTTAGAATTAATTTCCAAATATCTTGTTAGGGAGTTTTGCACCTATGTTCATCAGAAATGCTGCTCTGTAATTTTCTTGTAATTTCTTTGCTTGGTTTTAGTATTAGGATAATGCTGGCCTCATTATCCTAATGAATTAAGTTCCTTCTCCTTCTGGAAGAGATTGTAGAGAACTGGTATAACTTCTTCCTTAAATATTTAGTATAATTAACTGTTGAAACCATCTAGGCCTGGTGGTTTTTGGTTTGGAAGGTTATTAGTTATTGATCCAATTTTTAAATATATATCTCAGATTATTTCTCCTTGTGTGAGTTTTGGTGGATTATGTCTTTCAAGGAATAGGTTCATTTGATCTAATTTATAGTATTTTGGGGCATAGAGTTGTTCATAACATTCCTTTATTATCCTTTTAGTGTTCATAGTATCAGTAGAAATGGTCCCTCTTTCATTTCTGATATTAGTTAATTTGTGTCTTTTCTCTTTTTACCCTTGATCAGCCTGGCTAGAAAATTATCAGTTTTATTGATCTCTTCAAAAAGCCAACTTTAGAGTTCATTAACTTTCTCTATTGTCTTCCTTTTTTCAATTTCATTGATTTTTGCTCTGATTTTTATTATTTCTTTTCTTCTTGTTCTGACTTGGGATTTAATTTGCTCTTTTTTTGTCAAGTTTCCTTAAGTAAAACCTTAGGTTATTAGTCTTTGTTTTCAATCTTTTATGTACTTTCACTGCATTCAATACGTTTTGATAAGTTGTACTTTTATTTTCATTTAGTTCAAAATATTTTTTATTTCTCTTGAGATAACCTATATGTTATTTAAAAATGTATAGTATACTCTCCAGATCAACCATGGGAGAATAGAAGGGCTGTGTGTGCACAGGGAGACAGTTCACGGGGCAGGAGTGCATGGGAGAGAAGGACAGGGAAGAGGTAACGATGGAGAGAAAGTGGGAAGGGAGCTCTTGCATTGTGGGAGATTGCAGTCAGTGTCGTGAAACAAAGTATATGTGAACTGCTGTATGCAAGATGAATTTGCTGTAAACTTTCACCCAAATCACAATATTTTTTTTTTTTAATGGTATAGTATACTCTCCAAATATTTTGGGTAGATTTTCCAACTATCTTTCTGTTACTGATTTCTAGTGTCATTCCATTGTGGTCTGTTGTCATTGTTGTTAGGACATTTAATGTTATAAATATATATGATCTCTATTATTTTAAGTATGGTTAAGGTATTTTTTATGGCTCAGAATGTGGTCTATTTTGCAGAATGTTTCATGTGAGCTTCAGAAGGATATGTATTAAACTTGAACTTCCATAATACTTTTTATTCAATTGTATCAAAAGGCCTTAAGAACATTAAGTATGCATTTCTTATTAAGAAAGAAAGTGCTTTCTCATAATTTAACCCATAATTAAACATGTCCAGGTTCCCAGCCCTGCCTGATAGCAAAGAAAGAAGAGTTTTGACCTTTCTTAAATTTCAGGTGCCTATAAAACATCCCAGTGGAAATGTTAATTACCCAGAGATAAAGATTTAATAGTGATCTACATATAGATGGGGAGTTCTGGTGGCATAGTGCCTAAAGCATTTGACTGCTAACCAGAAGGCTGGAAGTTCAAACCCACCAGCCACTCCTCGGAAGGAAGATTGGGCAATCTACTTCTGTGGTGATACCACCTCAGAAACCCAAGGAGGGGTTGCTATGAGTCGGGACCAATTCGACGGCAGTGAGTTTGATTTTCTTTTTTTTTTTTTGGTACATATGGGTCACTATGAGTCGGGTCTGACTCGACAGCACATAACAACAACAACATAGATGATTACATATGAATAATTATGTGCTATCTACATATAGACATTTAAAGCCCTTAGATTGCTTTAGGAAGATTATTTAGGAAGCAGACAGACAGAAGAAAGGGAGTTCTAGCCAATGCCCAAAGTCCAATTCTGAAAGATCTAGCAGAGAATGGGTCACTTAACTGAGAAGGAGCTTCCATGAATTAAGGGAACACTAGGAGAAAATGGTCTGGAAGTTCAGCGAGTTCCAAAGTAGAGGGACTTGTCTATTATGTCAGTTACTTGACCAGGGCATTCTCAGTAGACTGTTGGGGCAGGAGCTCAATTGGTGAGGACTGAGGAAATAATTTGAAGTAAGGAAGTGTTGTTGTTGTTATGTGCGGTTGAGTCAGACCGGACTCATAGTGACCCCTCCTTGGGTTTCTGAGGCAGTATCACTACGGAAGTAGATTGCCCAACCTTCCTTCCGAGGAGTGGCTGGTGGTTTGAAACGCCAGCCTTCTAGTTAGCAGTCAAGTGCCTTAGGCACTATGCTACCAGAGTTGACTATAAATAACTCTTATGACAAATTGACTGTAAAAGAAAGCAAAAAAGGAGAATGTGATAGCCCTAGAGGGATGTTTCTCAAACTCAGCACTATAGACATTCGGCCTAGATCATTCTTTGCTGTGGAGGGATGTCCTGTGCATTGTGAGGAGTTCAATAGTATCCCTGACCTCTACCCACAAAACGCCTGAACTAATCCTACCCCCCGCCCCCAGCCACCAACCAGATACTGCTGTGCCTAGCAGCATAAAACTACAAACCTTTATCCAGAGTCAGGAGAGAGGGCAGAGACTAGAGATACAAATGCATACAGACTGGTAGATTAGGTGATGGCAAAAGGAATTCCTACCTAATTGCTGACATATAAAGTAAACTTAGTCTGCATTTAAATATATCTTTTAATCCCTTCTATTTAATGATTAGGAGCTCTGGTAGCATAGTGCCTAAGGCACTTGACTGCTAACCAGAAGGCTGCCTGTTCAAACTCACCAGCCACTCCTCGGAAGGAAGGTTGGGCAATCTACTTCTGTAGTGATACTGCCTGGGAAACCCAAGGAGGGGTTGCTATGAGTTGAGTCTAACTCACTGGCACATAACAACAACAACATTTAATGACTATCTTGAATAATAGGGATCAGATTTTGCCCAAGAAGTAATTTTTTAATATCTGCTGCATTTTTGAAAGAAGATAAAATTATCTCTAACTATAGCATTCAGCTTCAAATATTCTGTAATTCGGTATGCAGAATCATATTATTTGAATCATGGAATGTACTTTTTTTTTTTTTAAAGACTCAAGGACAAAAGAAAGTTACTAGCATGGTGGAAAGTAAAGATGTGCACAAAGGCATATATCAGATTGAATGGGAACATAAGAAAATGGAGATGGAAATGGAAGATCTAAATCAGAAGGCCTGGGATATTCAGATGCTGTTTTTTTCAAGAGATCGTCAAAAGGTAAGCTCCCCCATTCCCCTTCTGTAGTTTTTTTAATTATTTATTTTATTGTGGTAAAATACATACGATAAAAGTTTGCCATGTTTGAAGAAGTGTACAATTCTGTGACGTTCATTACACTCACCATGTTGTGCAAGCACCACCACCAAACATTTCCCAAAATTTTTCATCCCCCTCCCCAAATAGAAATTCAGTACCTCTTCAGCGGTAGCTCTCACTCTGCGCTCCCCTGAACCCCTGTTGTTGTTGTTATGTGTCGTAGAGTCGGACCGACTCATAGCGACCCCTCCTTGGGTTTCCGAGACTGCTAACCAGAAGGCTGGCGGTTCAAACCCACTAGCCACTCCTCGGAAGGAAGATGGGGCAATCTACTTCCGTGGTGATACTGCCTCGGAAACCCAAGGAGGGGTCGCCATGAGTCAGGGCCGACTCCACGGCACATAACAACAACAATAACATCACTCCGGAAGTAGATTACCCCATCTTCCTTCCGAGGAGTGGCCGGTGGGTTTGAACTACCTACCTTCTGGTTAGCAGTCAAGTGCCTTAGGCACTATGCTACCAGCGCTCCCCCCTGAGCCCCTGGAGACCACTAACTCACTCCGCCCTCCCCTGAGCCCCTGGCCACCACTAATAGACATTTGTCTCCATGCATGTGCCTTGTCTAGATATTTCATGTAAGTGGGATCATACAGTGTTCGTCCTTTGGTGTCTGACTTCGCTCAGCATGATGTTTTTAAGGTTCATCCATGTAGTAGTATATGTTAAAACGTTACTTCTCCTTATGATTGAATAATATTCCATTGTATGTATATACCATATTTTGTTTATCCATTCATCTGTTGATGGACACTTAGGTTGTTGCCCTATATAGTTTTCATTTCACTCATGTAAACAATATGTAATAAGCTTCTGTGATGCCAAACACATTCCAGGCCAGCAGTCTCGTCATGTATCTGTCTTTTACTTCTAGGAGTTTGCATTTTTTGCTTCCAGTTTTCACAACCCTTTCAGTAGTCTAGTTCTGTCTGGCAGTTCGACAAGCATTTCCTAAATGTCAAATCCAGTGGTCTCTCTCCTGCCATCACCATCTTCCAACTCGCTGCAGAACAGTCATCTACTTAGGCATTCCTTTGGGCTTTTCTCACCTCTGTTTTCTCCTTCCAGTATGTCAGACCACTATGCCTGTTTTTCTGGCTTCTCTTTTGCTTCTGGCCCTTAAATGCAACCATTCTTTAACATCATGCCCTTAACTCAGTTTATGTTTCTTTTTATGCCCTTCAATGACTTCTATTTCTCTGACTTCAGCGATCACTTCTAAAAGACTCATTCTTAAACCCAGCTCTCTGCCCATGACCTCTCTCGTGTTTCATCTTCATTTCCCCCAATAGCTCCTCTTCTTGATTGACTGACTTCTGTTCTTTCCAGCTACTCACCTAGCCTTAAAGTCTGTCATTTTTTGAGTCCCCTCTTTTCCTTGCCTTCCAAGTCTTGCCTAGTCTGTTTATTCCTCATTGTATATTCCTACTCCTTTTATCCAGGTTCAGTCTTCCATTTTCAATAGTTTGAACTATTTTATCAATAATATCCTAACTGGCTTTTCAATGTTTTATCTAAACTACACTATATATTGCTTTCATATTAATATTCCTATCCAGCTCTAACAACATTACTACTCTACTTTAAAATTTTGAACTGCTGCTTCTTACCTGGCAAATGAATTAAGAAATCCCTAAGTAGGCATTCAATCTAACTTTTCAAATTCATTCTTCCTTATTCCTTCATACATCAGCAAACCAAACTGATTATGATTTTCTAAGATTCTACCTCTGTGCTTTTTTACTCATACTGGTTCTTCGACCTGGAATACAGTTCCTCATTTTCTTTCTTTCTTTTTTTCTATCCCAAGCCTATTTATGTTTTAAGGTCTAATTTAAATGTCACCTCCTCCATAAAGCCTTTCATGATTTCCCCAGCCTGAAGAATCATATCACAATCCCACTCTTGAACAATGTGATCTTTCTCCTTTTTGAAAAGTCATGTTATTTATCTTTGTATCTCTCTCAGTGTCTCTGCACTCAAGAGGGGCATTTAATATATGTTTGGTGAGCTGAATGAATAAATGAATGAATGAGAAAATAAACTCTACTAATCATTACTATGTAAGTGAGTGTGTCAATGGTTAAACACAAGTAAATATTATGGCACAAAAGTAAAATCAATCTTAAATTACATAGAAAGATAGATATTTATTGAAAACTCTTTCAAAACTAAGACAACCTATATAAAGTTATCCATTAAAAGAAATAGAGGAAACTATCCTGATATATATTGTTTTTCCCCCCCAAAGTTCCTAAATGAACCACACTATGAGACTCTGATAGCTATTCAGATTGGAATAATGGAGCAAACCATTGCTGTTTTAGATAAGGTAAGTCTCTAAGATGTTGATCATTGTAATCCCAACAGTTGTGAGTCACTGGAGCAAAGTAATAATGTTTCAAACAGAATCTAACACAATCTTGGTCCTTTACTGATATTCAGGACGTAATTACCATATTTTTACACAAATAACACACTCGTGCTACATTGGTTTGGGACCACACCCTCCCCATCCCCCCCCCAAGTATTTTCATAAGTGTGCTGTGCTGATTGTTTTTACACCATTGTGTGGATTTCCTATTTCACATTATGATTTATGTGTAGAAGTTCTGAAAGCCTTTCCTTGGCATTATTGGCTTTCTTTTATCATAGTTTCTTAGTAAATGCTCAATTTTGAATGTATAGTATCTGTAAGATGGAAACAAAGGAATCCCAGGGCCAGAGGTTTGTTGGTTTGTTTGTTTCAATTATCTGTTATTTTTAAGGGTTTATAAGATTTTTTTTTCTAAATGAAGTATTAACATTCAGTCTTTCAACAAATAATTTGAGTGCCTACTGTGTGCAGGCATTATGCCAGATACTAAAGTTACGGTGGTAAGATGATAGATGATATTTTAATGATAACGATTCATTTAAATTTTAAGAATTATGTCTTTATAAAATATAATACATTTCTTCAAAATTATTTTTGTGGGATGTCTTGGGAACAAAAATTCCAGACCCACAAGAAGAATGTGGAAAACTGCAAAAAACTACTAAAAAAATTGGGAAGATACAGCAATCACAAAGATGTAGCAAATTACACTCTAAGCTGCAATCTACGAGAAGAGTTGGTGGCTGTCTCAGAAAGAAGAGACATCTGTAATGTAATTGGTAAGCATTTTTTAAAATGGTGGTGGCTGTTGTTGTGTGCCGTCGAGTCAGCCCTGACTCATAGGGACTCCTCCTTGGGTTTCCAAGGCAGTATCACTACGGAAGTAGGATTGCCCAACCTTCCTTCCGAGGAGTGGCTGGTGGGTTTGAACCGCCAGCCTTCTGGTTAGCAGTCAAGTGCCTTAGCCACTATGCTACCAGAGCTCCTGTAGGTTTCTTTAAAACTAACCAGTATTCTGGAAATTTGCCTAAGGCATTTGACTGCTAACCAAAAGGCTGGTGGTTCAAACCCACCAGCCACTCCTCGGAAGGAAGATTGAGCAATCTACTTCTGTTAGATACCACCTCGGAAACCCAAGGAGGAGTCACTATGGGTCGAATCTACTCAACAGCAGGAGTTTGGTTTTTGATATAAAGCTACTAGCATTTCTCAGGATTTCCACAAATTTTGACTAATCCATTTAGTCCACCGAGTGTTGCTTCTATATTAGAAGATACAGATAATGATCCAATAAATTTCTTTTTCATTTTTGGGACAGGATCTAAACTGACTTGTGAAAAGATTGCCAGAGAACGATATGAGAACTTGATGCAACAACAAAAATTAACACATATTTCAAAACAACAGGCTGAACAGATTGCAGTTCTGCAGGCTGAAGTTGAAAGATTAAGGATGAGAACATTTCCTGCTCTTGTTCAAATGTAAAACTCGGGCCAAATCATCATCTTAAAAATCATTTCATTAGTTTAAAATGGTTTCTTTTTCTTTTGTATCGGGATACTTAAGTAGAGTCTCCTCTTTGTTGCATATTTTTAATAGTAAATTATTTAATTTTAGCCTTGATCATTATAAAAATTTTTGTCCTACAGGAATAAATGTGAGAAATATCATGAATTTTTTTTTTTACTTCAAGAATGAAAAAGATTTTAACTCAAAGTATTCAAGATCTAGTTTATTCATTTAGTCTTGATTTGATTTGAAAATATTTGTTTTAATAAAGTCTTAAAGACAAAAAATTATTATTCTTAACCATAACTAGCATTTCAATTTTTATAAAATTACCAGAAAAGATATGAGCTTATAGCTTTTTTCAGTAACCATTTCTTCTAGAATCAGAAAAAATTACCAGAATATTATTGTTTTACCAATTGAGAAAGTAAATTACTTACTTTTACAACCCCGAAATCATTTGTAAATTACAACATATTTTGAAGACATAATTTTCTGCATCTCCTATACATTGTAAAATAACACAATTTTGTGCCCTACCCTGTAGGCTTTAGTAAACAGAAAAAAAGTGCTTTCTCTTTTCTATGAAACTGTATTGCTTTATTCATGTAGATGCTGAGAGTTATATAATGAGCAGAGACTGGTAAGAAGAAAACTGACCTTGCAGACTTGTGTTCCAAGGTGGTATCACTGAGATCACTAACCACAATCTCCAAGTGATGTCAGTGTTTCATTGTTCTACAGTTTATGAAGTGACTATTTAATCCACGATACCATATCCAATATACATTGGTGTAGGGAAAGCAAGAGCATACTATACAATCTTCTGCTTAGAATATTTTGGGGTTTTTTGTTTTTTGTTTTGTTTTTTGACCAGGATAGTACCATAATTGATTACCTATAAAGTGATCAATGTCAGGTGAGGATGATGGATGGTGAGGGACATGATAGGACCAACATCATTTTTTTTTTTTTTTTTGGAAGGCCATATATATGTGTATTTAATATTTATTTGAATTTTATTGTGCTTTGGGTGCAAATTTACAGAGCAAAATTTCTTTTACATCCAACAATTCGTGTACATTTGATTTCACACCCCAGTTACCATCCCCAATCATACCAAACTCTCCTCCCCTCCCGTCCCTGTGACTACCCTCTCCCTGTGACCTTAACTATGCATCCTGTCTATCGAGCTTTCCCTCCATGTGAAATGCTGTCCCTCTGGTGCCCATGGCCGATTGCTCTAAGGGGTGTATCTCTCTAGAATAGGTGAATGCATCACCTTGGGATAGTTGTTCTGCATATAGGTCTTTCTGCTGTTGGGCTCAGAGCCAATCCATGGGAGTGAGTCCAATTCTAGGCCCAAACGGTAACCTGGGGCCATAGTCTTGGGGGTTCCACCAGACTCTTTCCGACCAGTATTTCTGGTCATTTTTGTGCTTTTGGATTTTGTTCCACATTTTCCCTCCCACTCTATCCAGGATCTCCAGCTAGGACCAATATCGTTTTGATGACTACCATTCTTCAGTACTGGTAGCATAGTGCCTAAGGCACTTGACTGCTAACCAGAAGGCTGGTGGTTCAAACCCACCAGCCACTCCTCAGAAGGAAGATGGGGCAATCTACTTCC